CCCAGACTGAACTCCCTCCCCTCCCTTTCCAACAACAGCAGGAGCTGGGAAGCCACAACTTAAAAAAGATGCTACAATTTGAAACATCTTTATCTGATACCTCAATGCAATGAGGGGCTGATATTCATCAGACCAGCCATTTTTTCAGCTGTCTGCAACCATGCACTAGTGTTTGGTCACAGCTATAGACTGCTTTCTGGGGCCAGATCAGGCAAAAATTGTCACTTCTGTCTGCACCCTACTGCCTGTACTTGGAACCAGCCATGCTAACATGCAAGGCGGTGCCCTGTCTACTCCTGCCAGTATGAAGACTGACGTTGCTGTGTCAAATCCTTATCTCATCTCTCTCTCTAACCTGCTTACTCCAGATAGGCACCTCTACACACTGGGCACAAAGCAAGAGGCTGTTACGGTGCTTCTGCTCCTGTAAGTTAGTGCTGCACCTCTAATAATGGATGCCAAGGAGCCAATGGTAAGCATCCTTAAAGGAATAAGGGGCAGGACAGTGGAGCTTGACCATGTTGGTCCCTTCTGACCATGAAATCTGGAGTCTGCTCCAAGATCAAAGTAGCTGCTTGTTTTTTGTTTTGTTTTTCCCCCCATTCTGAGGGGAGATGCCATTCTGGAGTCTTGTTTTCCAGAGGTCAGGGAGAGATTAGTGTGAATTGATCTGCTGTGCAAGTATAAAAAGCAGGGATCTTTCTGGGATTTCAGAGCTGAATAGATTATTAGCTGAATAGAACAGCAGAAGTGAAGGTAGAAAGGTCACTCAGTACCATCTGCCCTCACAGACTACTGGTATACCCCACAGGACTTTTTACTGCAACTTCTTGTCTAACTCCTTGTAGATGCTTATTTTCCAGATGGGCCTGCCTTTCAACAGCATCAAAGAGCTAGAGGTTCTCGTGACAGATTTAAGACATGAGAAATTGAAACTAATACAACTGCAGAATGCAGATGGACTCAAGGGGATGGCTTGACTCCATTGTACAATGAACAAGCAACAGCAGAGGTCAGTAAGCGCACACAGGAGAGGTGACTGCAGTACTAATCACAGGCAGGTGATTCTCAGACGTTCCCAGGGGTTAATGTGCATTAAAGCGATTCTGCTTTTCAGTTCCCCCAAGCAGCCAGTTGTCTGAAGCTTTGTAGAGAAAATTGCAGGTCCAATCGTGGAGATGGCCAAAGAGCTTTTCTCTGCTGATGGCTGAATGAACTTACCTCTGCCTCTGACTGCTTATCAGGGCTGGCAAGCCAGATATTGTGATCTCCTACATACAATTTTTAAGGCTCTTTGGTGATAATTATGATGCTGATATAAATGTTATTTAATTGCTAGAATGCCAAGGAAATTATTTTTTATAGAGCTGGATTATGTTTTTAGCACTGTTTAAATAAATACAATTAATGATCAAGCCTCTCCCCCCTCAATGTTCCTTAATCCTAGACAAGGCCAGCAGCAGCCTGCTCTCCTATCTGCCCTCAAGCCTAGCTTCTGCAGCTGAAATATGGTATTGCCGAAGTAGCAGGCCAGATAAATGCACCATTTCAGTTTAGCCTCTTGCCTTTCTCTCATCATTGCAACCTCATAAATGTAAGCATTGTAGCTGGGATTTTTCCAGGGGCCAGAGTGAATCAGGATCCCAAATCCTTTGACCAACAGGAAAAGCCCTCAACTCCAGGTAGACCGCTGGACCATTACTAGCTAGCACAGTAGGCACTGCCTCATTGCCTCCTTTCAGTCTGTCTCCAGTTGCTGCTGCCTCTTCCTTTAGATTGCAAGCTCATAGGGCAGAAACCATCTCTCTGATGTAGTGTTAAGTGCTGTAAAACAATGGATTCCAAGGTTCTACTGCAATATAAGTAATAAAATCCTGCTG